GACGTCGTTCTTGCCAACAGCCCTCGTTTCACAATCAACAAGTACATAGGCTACAACTACACATCCATTGGTGGATAGCTATGGCGACCATTAGCGCAATCCTAGTATTCATAAGAGTGACCTACTCATCTAAGAGATAAATATATATTTGAGTTACAACTTTTGTCAAGTCTAAATTTCAGCGGCCCGGTTCGCTGGGTCATCGGGTTGACCGCCAAGTCGGGCCGAGTTTTAAAACACTGAGCTAAAACATCAGTGTGCGAATTCTTTGCTCTTCTGACCTACTGAATAGAGTATTCAGGTATCTTGCTCAGTTATTTCTCTACAATGGCATGATAGGCTATCATTCTTTCATCCTTTGCCACATACTCCCCTATTATCTAATTCACCAATAGTTGTAAATCGGAGAATATTTGGAGCTTTATTGCCCCAACTCAACTGTCAGCCTTACTCCTGTTATCAAGGCTTTGTATTCCGCTTCGTTGTTTGAGGCTTCAAATCCGAGCCTGATGGATTTCTCCAAAGTACATTCGTCTGGACTTACTAGAACAATGTCAATGCCAGCACCCTTATGATTTAAGGATTCGTCAACAAATAGGGTCCATCCGCCGGCGGTTCCTTACTTTTGGTTGTCATCTGATTCTTTACTCTGTTCCGACCTATCCTTAGGCTAAAATTCTGCAATAAAGTCTGCTACTACCAGGCCTTTTATTGCTTTTCTTGGTTTGAATCGAACGTCAAACTCTCCGAGCTTCACCGCCCATTTGCCAACTCGTCCTGACAGATCGGCTCTATGGAAGAGCGATTTTAATGGTTGGTCGGTAAGCATTGTGATTTGGTGGGTTTGAAAATAATGTCTGAGCTTCCTTGCCAAGCTAATCAGTGTTAGGGCAAGTTTCTCCAATGAAGTATACCTCAATTCTACATCTAAGAGCATCTTGCTCACGTAGTAAATGAGCTTCATCTTTCCATAATCATTCATCATCAATGCCCCACTTACAGCGTGTTCTGATACAACCAGGTAAAGGTAAAGTTTCTCCTCAGGTGACGGGGTTGATAGAATCGATGCAAACGCCAAGTATGCCTTCAGATTTGTAAATGCTTCCTTGCATTCCCGTATCTAGAGTTCCCCTTTCTTTCTTTTGATTGCTTGGAAGAAAGGCCGACAGTTATCTGAAGCTCGGGATATGAATCTCTCGAGCACTACTGTCATTCCCGTTAGCCTCTGTACTTCCTTTACAGTCCAAGGTGATTGTAGTTCTATAATCGCCCTCACCTGAATAGGGTTCACCTCTATACCTCGGTGGGTAACCAGGAAGCCTAGGAATTTACCCGATCCGACCCCAAATGCACACTTGGAAGCGTTCAGCTTCATCTTATATCTTTGTAGAACCTCAAATGTGTCTCTTAGGTCGGAACAATGACTACTGGCTCTTCTACTCTTAACCACCATATCGTCGATATAAACTTATATAGTGCTGCCTATCATATGGGTGAACATTTTGGTTACCAACCTCTGATATGTTGCTCCAGTATTTTTCAATCTGAAAGGCATTACCTTGTAGCAGTATGTCCCCTCTGGCGTTATAAAGGCTATCTTTTCTTGGTCTTCCTTAGCTAAGGAGATTTGGTGAAAGCCTCTGTACGCATCCAAGAAGCTAATTTGCTCGTGCCTGGAAGTTACATCTACCAACTGGTCTATCTTCGGTAGAGGGAAACTGTCTTTTGGACAAGCTTTGTTGACATCGCTAAAGTTGACGTAGACTCTCCATTTTTTGTTCTTTTTCTTCACTACCACAGTGTTTGATAGCCAGGTCGGATACTGTACTTCCCTAATTGTTTGGGTTTCCAGCAAGCGTGCAACTTCTTCCTTTACTGCCTCCTAATGCTGAGGTGCCGATCTCCTAAGCTTTCGCTTGACAGGCTTAAAACTCAGGTTAACGTTCAAGTGTTGACATGCCACTTCGGATTGTACGCTAGGCATATCACTAGTGCTCCAAGAAAAAACATTGGCATATTCTTGCAGTAATGTAACGAGTTCCATTTTCTGTTCAGGACTAAGAGCTGCCCCCAACAAGAAGTATTTTTCTAGATCTCCATCCTTGTCTAAAGGTACTTTAGTCAAGTCTTTTATTGTTCAATTTGCAACTTCTCTTTCTGTGCTTAAAGGCACTTTAGGGCTTTTGATGACAGCTCGGTCAATAGGATCTGCCGAACTTTTGGGTGCTAACTTCTATTTTGCTTCATCGGTCTTTAAACTCTTTTCGTGAACTTCTATTCTGTCTTTTCTTTTGATAGAAGCCATAAGACAAGTCTTGGAACTGACCTAGTCTCCCAATAGCAATGAGTGTGCTCTCGCAAGGTCTCATTATGTTTCTTCTTCAAAGTTAGAAGAGCTCCAACATCCTTCGGCTATTTACTACTTGTAATGAACTGTGTTGTAAACTGCTCGGCCAACTACGACCATCCATCAATCGATCCCTTCAACAGACTTTCAAACCATTTCATGGCCGACTCCCCTAGACTGCTAGGGAAGATGGTGCAAAGTAATGACTCGTTCCTTCGGTTGATTGTCATCAACTGTCTATAATGCCTGATATGTGAGATTGGGTCAATTTTTTCATCGTAAAGTTTGAAACTCGGAACGAAAAACTTGCTCGGGATTCTCCCTCCTTCAATCCTCGAAGTGAAGGGGGACGATTCAGAGCCATTATCGAACTCCCCCGTTGCCCTCCTGGCTAGGTCCCTTGCCGACCTTTGTTTTGGTTTTTCAAGCGATTGTTGAACTCCTTGGTAATGTATTGCTTCCATGAGTCTTCCTCCAAAATCTGAGGTCTTTTCTAGTGTTTATCATTCCTAACTTCCTTAAAACTATCATGCTTTTCTTCGGGACTTTCTCGTCGGCTGTCCCTTTCACACTTCCCTTTTTTAGTCAAGTCCTTTACTCTGGCTTTCAATTCTACATTTTCTTTTACCAGATCTCTTTCTCTGGGATATGATTTTTTGAATAACTAGTCGTGTGCATCCAGTTTGTCCTACAGCGATTGGACCAGCTTCGCCAAAGAGTGGTTTTTCCCCTTGGCACGGAGGGAATCCCCATGTCCTATAATCTGCTGATTTCGATCTCTAGATGGTTTGAAACTGGCTGAAGATATTTCGTCATCTTCGAGAGGTCTAGACAGACTTCTGTTGGCGTGCAATCTAGCGTTTTCAGATGATGGTGATACTGGATCAGATTTTCCCAAGGCAAAACTGTCTCTAGGAGATCCAATTGCACTTCTTAGTCTCGACATCGTAGCTTTTAGTTGCGAATGTTTAAAAAAAATTTCCACAGACGGCACCAAAATGTAAGAGGTAAAAATTGATTATATCTCTCACTAAAGGTTGGATTTGATATTTTTGGTAAATAATATTTTTGAACTTAATCTCCCAATCTTCTTATTTTGCAAAACGAACAAACTGTCCAAGATCGAAGTGCTTCAATCGAAGACACTCCGATGCTTAAGTCAGTAATAGAACAGAATAATTGCTAGAAGACAATGAGAGTTTAGCATACCTTTCACCTTGGTCTCTTCTGCTTTTTATAGATCCTTGTTCCCTTAGGGTTTCCGTAAATTTTGATTCAATGTGGCACACCTTCCTTCAATTCAGTCATTCAGTTTGAAAGTTGCTGATATTTCTCCAACAATTTCTTTTGATATCTATAATTTCGTTGATTCATTTATCTGATTGCCTAAGTTATAAGCAAATCTTTATCTTTCCATCTATCGTTTTGAACAGTTCAAACATAGTGAATGCTGAGTAAACTCGATATTTACCGAATAGTTTTAGGGACTTGGCTTGGCACAAACCAGTCTCTTCTATCGTCTTCCCGAATACTTTAATGAACTCGGCTTGGTATAAGCCGAACTCTTTCCTGGCTTAGTTGAACAGATTGATGAGTTCGATCATAAAGAGAGCCAAACTTTTTCTTTGATTGTTTAATGCTATATCACGTGTAATCATGATGTTTAACCCCTTAAGAAACTATCTTGTTATACAATCTGTGTATTAAATAGGAAATATCTATTACATATTTATTGTGATTTAGTCCTATCAAGAAAGTCTCAAAGGTTAATAATAAAAAAAAAATTATGACTCCTCTTAAATATTAACGGATCGACACAATGACCCAGATGATTTTTATCTTTACTCATCTAATTTATTATACCTGTTTGGGTTTAAAAAATAAAAATAACGGATTATAGATATTTCTAATTCTTTGGCCAAATTACTAAATAATGAATTAAAAATAAACTAAAAATAACAGGTTGACACACTATGCGGGTTCACAATATCACCACTTTTGGACTTTTAACCTAGCCACGTCACCAAAGTCTTTAACAACCAATTATTTACCCATCTAAACAATCAAGTGACCAATTGATTAAACTATGCAAAAAACTTGAAGTCATGTTAGCATGCATGTAGGCTAGATCGTGACTTAAGAAATTACCTCAGTTAATGGATAGATGACAAAGATAGCCCATTGCTAATTATTCATGTCATTGGCTCAATTTTTTTATTATTGAAAGGAGTCATTTTTATTATTATTATTAACCTTTAAGATTTTTTAATAGGACTAGATCACAATAAATATTTCTTATTTAGGGAAGAACTAACTTAATAGGTCTTGATAATTAATTTTAAACATCTTTATTTAATGACCGTTAAATCATAATCTAATAATCTATATAAAAAATACCTATTAGAGACTCTGATGCACAGTCCCCGTCATCGCGTTACTCTTTCCGCCAACTAAAATTTGCATATAATACAGATATGTCATGATGAATACTGTCATCCAATGGAAACTCGGACCCCTTATTTAAAAAAAATAAATTAAAAATTTAACATAATTTACGTCATGCATGATGATGCAACCCCAATAATTGCTATACATTTCAAACCCATTATAAGTATCCGCCATTAATGTTCTTCAAAAATTCACAGCTCCACAACTGAATTCGATTCAAGCAACCATGGAACTCACCTGGCTATACGCATCCCTCTCTCTCCTCCTCCTCCTCCTCTTTCTAAATTTCAAGTTCTTGTCGGAAAAACGCCGGAACCTCCCACCGAGGCCGGTACCGGCGCTTCCAGTTATAGGTCATCTCCACCTCCTGAAACAACCTCTTCATAGAACCCTCCACAAGTTCTCAGAGAAAGCTGGCTCAATCTTCTCCCTCCGATTTGGTTCCCGCCTGGTGGTCGTTGTGTCTTCATCGTCGGTGGCGGAGGAGTGCTTTACCAAGAACGATGTCGTTTTCGCCAACCGCCCTCGTTTCACTATCGGCAAGTACATAGGCTACAACTACACCTCCATGGCTGGATCCTCCTACGGCGATCACTGGCGCAATCTCCGTCGACTAGGTGCACTCGAAATTTTCTCCGCCAGTCGTCTCAACATGTTCTTATCAATTCGACAAGACGAAATCAAGCGATTACTGTGCTATCTTCGTCAAAATTCAGTCAATGGGGGTTTCGCGAAGGTTGATTTGAGGTCAAAATTATCGGAGCTGTCATTCAATATGGTTATGAGGATGATTTCAGGAAAGCGATACTTTGGAGAAGACGAGGGCAATGAGGAGGCGAAGCATTTTCGGGGCCTCATAAAGGAGGCAGTCCGATACGGCGGTGCGTCGAATCCGGGAGATTTCTTGCCGGTTTTACGGTGGATTGATTACAAGGGTTTAGAGAAGAATTTAGCGAAGCTTAGTGAGAAGATGGACGTGTTTTTACAGGGTCTAATTGATGAGAACAGGCGTGATATTAATAGTAGAAACACCATGATCAGTCATTTGCTTTCTCTGCAACAATCACAACCAGAGTACTACACCGATCAAATCATCAAAGGGCTTATGATGGTATGTGTAATCCCCTAACCCTTTAGTTAACCTTCGCTCCAACATTAATACATGTTAACGAATTTGATACTAAACTACTAACTCATTCAACAAATAAGTCGACATGAACTCGTTACACATTACTTATACTCAATTTAACTGATCAATTTGAGTAAGCCCACACGTTGGTGTGGATACTCCACGATATTTTCTCATAAATGATTCGAGAAGGGCTGTGAATAAATTGACTTTGGATCGAATGTTAGATGTGTCTAAATTTAAATCTGATTAGTGGATTTTAAAATCTTAATTCATATTCGCTTGCGTTAGGAATTAGATATCCAATCCAAATACCCGATCCAATTTAAAATTTTGAATTCCAACAAAATTTATAAAAATTTAATAATTTCATCAAATTGAAGTTAATTTTCAACCTAAATAATTTTAATAATTTATATTTAATTTCATCTTAATCTCATTAATAATATAACTAGGTATGTATGCATATATAATAATTTCTCTCAATTAAATATTATATATGTATGTATATATACTAGATTAGATTTTTATCAGATTGGATATACATATATCCAAATTGAAATCCATTTAAAGAATTTAATCGAATTCGGATTCGAATTGGATTTAAGTAAACAGATTAAAATATTAATCCATGTTCACTTATTCAAATTAAAATCCGCTTTATTGACTGGCCTAGATTTAAGAGTGAATTACAATTTATACCCTCAAAGTTTATACTTAATTTTTATTTGGTCTCTCAATAATCAATTGCAACAATCAAATCCATAAATTTTGCAAACTAATTTCAATCTACTCCCTATGTCAAAATTTATCAGTAATCACGACGAAAAAACATCTTGTGCCTCGATCACATGCATAATTTTGTTCAAATTAACATAAATACGAGTGAAATATTAAAAAGTGAGCCAACACATTCAATTCAAATAGGCAAATCTATATCAAAATAAGTTACCAAATGTAATTTTAATACATAAACACTAACCTCAGGGCCAACTTATTCAATATTAATCCCATAATTGTATTACGCTTTATACTTCCGTGACTTTTTTCCTTTAGAATTATTGAAGAATTACAACTGAAAGACTTAATTAAAATAGAAGTTAAAGTTTAAAGATTTGAATGCTTTAATTCATGGTTAGTGGAAACATTTGAGGATATAAAATACAATTTACCCTTGATTTACTGCCTTCCAATTATCCTTGATTTCAACCGTTTTTAATTTTCTCTTGATCTCACTTGATGAACTTGTAATGGGAGAAACCTTTGTTTCCCAAATTTGTTTACCAAATATAATATCTTAAATGAAGTGTCAAAATTTTATGCATTGAATATTTGGTGGAAGTTAGTGAACTCCGCTGATCTAACAATCTACTCTAATTTGGAAAATAAAATTTGATAAATAATTGATAAACATAACATTGCTTCTTATAATGTGCAGGTAATGCTAATTGCGGGCACAGACACATCATCTGTGACTGTAGAATGGGCAATGACACTTTTACTCAACCATCCTAAGATATTGAAGAAGGCCAAGACCGAGTTAGACACTCATATAGGCTTTGATCGCTTGATCGATGAAGCAGATTTGTCTAAGTTGCATTACATTCACAACATCATATTGGAGACCTTTCGATTATATCCGACAGCACCATTATTACTGCCACATGGGTCGTCTGCTAATTGTACAGTCGGGGGATATGACGTGCCACGTGGCACGATTTTATTAGTCAATGCGTGGGCAATTCACAGGGACCCTAGAGTGTGGGATGACCCAATAAGCTTCAAGCCTGAAAGGTTTGAAGGAGGGGAGGTTGAAGCACACAAATTAATGCCATTTGGGATGGGAAGGAGGTCCTGCCCAGGTTCTGGATTGGCTCGGAGAGTGGTGGGTTTGGCCTTGGCATCATTGATTCAATGCTTTGAGTGGGAGAGGATTAGTGAAGAGGAGGTTGATTTGGCTGAAGGAAATGGGCTCACCATGCCAAAAGCTAAGCCATTGGTAGCCATGTGTAGAGCTCGCAGCCTTATGGACAAAGTTCTTTCAGAAATTAAAAAAAATGTTTGAGATTTTCTTGAAAAGTTACTATTGTGCTAGTATGTTAAGTGAATTACAATAAATCCTATACAGTAATTCAAATTACGCTTAAAACGGGATCTAAAAATTATAAGTTACAGAAAGCGTTACATTCCAATTTAAAAGAGGAATTATCCTCATGAGTGAATCAAGAGTACAATACGCAATATGACATCACTTTTGATGTCACTGTTGCATTGAATATTTACTCGTGAATTATAATAATCAGTGGTGATGATATTATGTAGTTAGTCCAAATTAATGTTGTATACATAATTGAAACAATAAATATCAAGAACAAATTTTTTTAATTGGGTCCATTTATCTGCTATTATTCTAACTTTTGATCTTTGACAATTGATTGTATCGACAGCAATTACATTGTTATTAGATGCTGACTTTTTTGGTCAATGAAGTGGCAACTAAAGTGGTAATATTCAATTTCTTGGCCAGGTCAGGATTGAATACAGATAAAGGAGAAAATGGATTCATATCCGCCATTTACTACCAAAAAAAAGGGGTAAAGTTACCACAACAAAGGCATCTCACGAATAAGGAAAATCTCACTCTGCACCAGAAAGATTTAAGTTTTTTTTATTTTTTACTTTCAAAGATGAAATTTTTTAAATCACACTCTTAATGTATTAAAAATATTATAATGTGACTATTTCATTAACTTCTGTTGCTTATTTTGTCAAAACCCACCCTAATAATATTGACGGAATAAATAACAAAAATTGTAAGAAAGACTCCATCTAGATTCTCTGCAGGGTTCGAAATTTTTTGTTTCTTATTTGATTGAACAATACTCTTAAGGCATTATACCAAACTAAAGGTGCTTTTCACACACATTCGTGTGCGTGATAAAAAAAAAAGAGTAAGATTTGGAAAGAGATAAAGAGAATAATGTAAAAGACAAACAAAAACGAGAAGTTATGGATAATTATGCGTAATTAAGGGATAATATTAATTTTTTGAAATGAGGACACCATACCCCTTCTCTCTTCCTTGATTATTAGTGTAGATATTTGCAACATCAACACAAATCAATTTAATGAAGAACAACTTGCACATCGAACAACCTATCTTTTTTTTATTTCTTTTTAACTCGCATTGAGCAACCTGCCATGCGTCCTCCTTTGGATGTCTTGAACTACATTATCATATCATCTCTTTTATTTAATAAAATTAAGGGTTACTATAATACACATTTTAAATAAAAAAAACTATAATAAAACATGTTGAAATATGCACTTCAAAATTAATTACACATAGAATTTATGTAGTTTAAGACGTATTGTTTCCAAGTACATCTGATTTTTTCACGTAAATGGAGAGATTTAGAAACATATTGATTTGATATAGCCTTTAAACCAAAGCCCATGTACTACTTTGGAAGATCTACGTAATAAAATAGTTAAATTGTTTGTTTTGAGTTTTTCGCAACTTAAATTATTTTGATTCGATAGTCTTAATTAGACTTTCATTCATTTTACAATTCTAACATTCTCATCTTTCATATAACACTCTCTACTATCTATCTATGTTATACTCTCTCTCTCTTCTCTCTCATACTATTAACGTTTTTTTCTTGTATTGTTTTTGTTACTATTTACTCCATAAAATAGATAAAACTACATATTATATAATTATTTCTTCTATGAAACTAATTTAAAGTTTTTATATATTTGGCGGCATATTTTTTGCCACTTACTTCTTAATTTATAAATAACACTTACTATAAATAAAAAATAACACATTGATTATAAACACCAAATAATATTCAACACAAAATAAACCTTAGATTGTAAATTGATATGTAATTTTGAAATAAATAAAACTACATGTTATGAAATTATTTATTCTATGAAACTAATTCAAAGCTTATATATATTTGACGACATTTATTTGTCACTTACTTCTTAATTTGTAAATAATACTTAATGTAAAAAAAATAACACATTCACTATAAATCTATATCTATATAATAAGATAGCTAGGTGTTTGAACTTATAGGGGGTATATTTTTTCCCCCAAATTTCACACACTTTCCCTCCCAAATTTTACAAACCCAACACAAATATTCCACAACACATAGCTACACATACTTCAGTACACACTCACTACACATACACACATTATATATACACTTCAACTATACAAACACACACTCCAATACACACATAGTATTATAATTTAATATTTAGTGACTTCAATCACGGGGTATCGCTAGTATATATATATATATTATATATATAATATAAAATACAGCGGGCTTCAACAAGCTGATCGTATGGTCACAATTCAACAAAGAGGGTGAGGGAAGAGAGAGATGAGGGATACCTGAGTTAGTAGTAGCGACGGTGCTGGTGCTGGTGTTGCTGGGGCGTAATAGAGAGAGAGAGAGGACCGACGGTGGAATGGCTTGAGAGAAGTTTAATTTTGAAAAAGGAGAGAGAGAGAGAGAGAGAGAAAGATGGAAGGGAGGCGACATGTCTGACAATGAGGTGACCAAAAGGACTGATTTTGAAAAATAATTTGAGTGAGAGGGGATGAGTTTGGGGGTAAATGGAGAAAGATTGATAATAGTTAGATGAAATGAATTGTGACCATATGATCAGCTTGTTGAAGAAAGTTGTATTTTATATTATAGATTTTATTTATCAATTAAAGATTGTAAATTTAGTTATGTTCTGTTAGTATTTTTTTTTTTTTTTTGCTTGAGGTATTTATTACATGGGATAAGATGGATTGGAAATATGGTGGTTGAGTTTATAAATATATTGGGTAATTGGATTGAGTGGTAATAGATGTGATAAATTTGTGAGTCTTATAAACGAGTAAGATTTTATTTATTGCTTAAGGATTGTAAATTTCAATGAGTTATGTTAATATTTATTTTTTTTTT